TCAATACAATATACACAAGAATATAACTGAAGATGGAGAAGGACAACTCTGTGGCTATATTTCAAAGCAGATAATACTGTTTTTAATATTTGATGTCCTGACCCTGACTACTGCTGCTTGCTGTCTTTTCCTCCTGATCTGTATTTGTAAAGGCAGCAGAGAAATTGATGATCCTGAGGGCAGTGTCTAAAATTTGCTGACTGTGGTGAGATATTTCATTGCTTCACTAACACTGGTGGATGATCCACATGTCTGAAACAATGGGAGAGTAAAAAGAAAAAGAAACATTCAAAAGCTTTTCTAGGCTGTAGTTTTGCTACCCTTAGAGTAAGCTGGATAGATTAGAGATTATTCTGTATTTGCTTTATTTGGATGCTGAGTGAGATTTGAAGCTCATGTTCAGTTTTGGTAGAAAACATCTCCAGATTTCAAGATCTTGGGTTCTGGTGGCCTGCCGGCTTACCTAACAGGCGTGACATGGAGGAGGAAGCTGTAGTTCAGTCCACGGGACCGTATCAGGTTGTTTAACAGGACTGGTTCCAGCCACCACTTGCGTTGGTGCACAAGGCTGTGCACCACATAGGTGCTCTTCTCCACAGGATCAGATGGGCAACCCAGCATAGCACTGATGGTAAAGGTAAGTCATCCTGGGTTCCTAAGTGAGGTTTAAAGGTAGGGAAAGTAGAGGATGCCAGATAGTAATGATAGGACATAACAGTTTCAGCTATTCAGAGTGGAAGGACGAGGAAAGAGAGTAGAAAACAAGCATCGAAAATGGCAAGTGTGAATTCAGGCACAGGTACTGAAGAATTTCTCATATGGAAAAAAAAAAAAAAGAAAAGAAAAAAGAAAAAAAGAAAGGCAATTCTGGTTTATATCTGAAAGATGATTACAAAACCAGAGATGCTGATGGGCCATGGGTAGTGTATGTACTGTGGCCATATTTCCTGGAACAATATAGAGGAATGCTACTAATTAGGTTTGATATTCTGGACTATTTGAATATTTTTAGAACAGGAATTGGAGAAAAGTTAATAAGGAGATTCTTTTGTAGAAGTGACATGGGTTGTGTTTATAGGGAGTGAATAAAAATAAATAAAAGCAGCAGAGATGGAAAAATTTTCTAATGCTCTTTCACCTCAACTGAATCCATACTTGTCAGGGAACATAAGGCTTAAAAAGGAAACCCTCTGGAAAACTTTGAGAGCTGCTACTTTCATCTTCACCTTCTGAGAAGTTTCAAATATCAAGAGCAGAGAAAGAGAGACACACAGAGAGAGACTGAGTCTCTAATTAGTGAAGGAGGCAGGTAGGATATTAATTGATTTGTTCTGCTACTACTTTGACCGGTGCTGTGTCTGAGAACAATAGAAGAGCTGTAATGTTCTTCAACAACGGAACAGAGTTTTTATTGCATACCAAGTTAGAAACCTTGGATCACAAACTGTTTCTGAAAAAAAATAATTTTTATAATACTGCATTTTGCTGCATGTATTTTAATTTCATTGATTTATTCTTTGTTTAGGAATTGGTTTCACAGAGCTTGGGCTTCTTTCACTTTTTGAGGGTGTTTGGAAAATCCTGACATTAGTCTCTGTCTTCTAGTAGTGGCAGAGTGCAAATCTAGCAACATTTATGAAGTGGAATAGTATGGTTTTATATGTGATGCAGGTCATTATAAACTTGAAAAATAAGTAAATGCAGGAAAGAAGTTGAAAAAGGGTAAAGGAAGGATTTATTTTTATCTGTCCTGGACTGCAATTTAGGGTCAAACTTACTGTGTAACAGTGTCTGTCATGGCTCCACAGTCCCAGGTTTCCCAGTGAAACATTATCCTGCCACTGCATAGTCCTTTGAAAGTTGCCTTTGGTAAAGGTGTTCAATAGGGCTAAGAGCTTAATTAATGATTTAGATCCAAAGAGACTTTTAATTGCAAGATAAGACAAAAATAATGCTATAAAAGCAGTGCATGTATTATGACAATTAAAAACTAATGGCTTACAAAAATATATGGGCTTGGGTATAATTTGAGCACTTAAAGTATGTGAAGGAGAACAAAAGAACAAAAAGGGAGATTCAACAATAACTTCTGTATAGCCCTAGAAGCAGAATATAAGTTGACTAAGAATTTAATGAAACTCTGCAACACAAATTGTGTATGTATGGGAGGTCTCAAAAAAAAAAAAAAAAAAAAAAAAAAAAAGAGCTTTTAGTTACAAAAAAGGCTCCAAAGTTACAAAAGGTTCTTCCTGATGATCATTCTAAACCTTTTTTCATAGCAGGACTGCTTTCCCTAGATGCTGCAACTAGTTTAAAATGTGATTAGGCACATGAGTTTTATACAAAAAATAAAAAAAATCTGTTTGTCTAGGTTCCCTGTGTAGCCAAAAAGGAAAGACAGGGATGATCACACCATGAGAAAGGTGGCTGAGATCATTGAAATAGTGTCCTGGTAAGACGAAATGTCCTTTACAAGTGTCTGTCTGACATCATAATCCAGTGGCAGCATAACGGTCTTGAATCTCACTTTGTCTTAACTAGGCTGGGAATGTAAAACAGCATAATTGGTAAAAATATTCAAATAAATACTGGTCTCTGGGCATATCGCTTTGGAGGGGATTTCACCTGAGACAAAGAAAACCTTTTTGGATTTGGCAGGAGAATGCCCAGATAGGGAAATGGGCTTGTTTATTTGTAGTGATTTAGCTCAACATCTGTGTAATGAATAAAATGTTCCTGTGGGACAGGTCTATATATCAGAGCAAAGCGTTGCTTTTCCTAAAGGCAGTGCCTCTCATCTTTGGCCAGATGACTCAGGGTGCGTACTTTTTATAAGGGGTGGTGGCTTTTTTTATTTTTATTACCTGTTTATTCCACCCAAACCTGAGCCATGCTCGTGCCTGTCACTATGCAAGGTGTGTAATTATGTCAAGGAGTAGTTTATGTAGACTGAGAGCTGCATACGTTATGTATAGGATTAGAGAATTTCTGACGTGATTTTGATACATGAAGGTACAATGAAAGAGAGACATTCCCATTTTCAAGAGAACTCATTTGTCTATTTGTTTATTAAGCATCATTCTCTGACATTTCATGGCCCTTTGTGCCATAGAATAGAAAATAATACGTGAGGGAGGAAAGAATAAACAGTTCTCCTCCTCCGGGGAAAAAAAAAATCCTCCACCCAAAGTAAGTATTTGACTGTTTTGCAAGATAATGTCTATCATGAGTCTATCATGATGTAATATCAGGCACCTGGTGCAGTCACATCATCATTGGTTTCAGCTTTTCTTCATGACTAACAAAAGTTAGGCAACATATACCAAAGGGGGAAAAAAAAAAAAAAAAAAGGAAAAAAAGAACTGCAGGCCAGATGGTTTTTGAGAACGGAATAAAGTGAGAGGTGAAGTAAGCGTTTGACAAGAATGCACAGGGAGAAGATTAATCATCACTTCATGTTCTGTGTCCAAAACAATTGTGTCTTTGCTTGTCTGAGATGTCTGATTTTTAATTAGACAAGAGGCATTCCCTTTAAGATGCTGTTCCTCTGGACGCTAGTATTGTACAGATGTAAACAGCCCACAGTCCTCAACAGAAAAAGTGATTAAAAGAAGGATTTACACAGTTTGATCTCAAACTACCGTGATGGTATGCAAAAGTTAACTGATGAACTGCCTGAAGTGCAGTACAGCACGTGTTTAAATAGCTGAGAATATCGGTCATCTCATTTTAAAGGTCACCTTGGTTATTTGTATTTGTTTATTTTCAATAGGATTAACAGGAACATCCTGGACACACACAGGAAATTGGCAGAATTCATCAAGGTTGGGCCATCCGGGTAGCAGGCAGCATCTTGATGCTGCAGCTGGTTGTTCTGAGGTTTTAGCTGTACGAGTGAAATGACTTGGGGGTGATGTGTACGGCTGTAACCATCACTGTATATGTTTTCACATATACATATATCAAATACATGCAGCAGTTTGTATGCGTGTGCTGTACACACGGAGCGCTGTATTTGTAAGAGTTCTCGTACTGTTTTGAAAGTGACTTAAACATTTGTTGATCGAGTTGTAAATACTGGAACAGAGGAATATACAAGGAAATATAGATATCGCAGAAAATTATAAATGTACAATGTTCGCTTTTTCTTTTGTATAAACACAATGTATGGTTAATATGTTGGGGTTTTTTTTCTGCATCTTAATGACAATAATGGTATAACAAATTGTTTTAGTGCAAATTAATTTTATAATCAAGTTTGAAAAGCAATGATCAAAGGCCTAGTGCCTGTCTAATAGTTCTTTGCATAACTGGAACCTGATAGAGGTTAATGCCTGCATGATAAAATATTTTTATTAAACAGTATCCTTCTGTGGTAATTTCTTATAAGGACCTGACAGCAGGTTGCTTTTGTGCACAGTGGATGTTAAAGAAGCTCACGTTTGTGCAGGTGGATACAACTACCTCTTGATACATACACAAACAATATATATATATATAAGTACAACGTTTGACATAAATATAAATTTCTGATTTTTTATGTCCCTGATTTATATATTCTTGTAATATTCCATGACTATGTGAATACATTAAAAACCTGTCATGACATTTAGACTGTTAACACAATTACAAAAGCAAGATTTTTTAGTTTCAGGTCTGTCAGCCCTCATTTCACATCCTGTATTGTGGAAAGATGGGCCAGTTTCAACAGGCTTGGATTTCACATTTGGGAGAGACAAGAATTAGTCTTTCAGAGACTGTTAGAAAAGTCAGCCCTTAACCACCACAGTGATATGTCAGTTTCTGCTCACTGAAGGAGAAAAGAGAAAAGCAATATTGCCAAGTGCTTAAAAATCGTGAAGTTTACATTTTCTGCAGATGACATAAAAGAAATACCAATTTCTGTAGTTATGTATATTTAGCCTAAGTGACTTCACATCAGACGTGAAAAGTAAGAAAATTATTTTCTAACTATCAGGATTTTTTTTTTCCCTAGGACCTAAGGGTGACACAGTTCATTCCTCACATGCTGTTGCTACTAATCAAGCGGCAATCTCCAAGCAATGCTGATGGCTACCTGTGCAATCCCATTAAGCCATGACCATAGTCCCTGTTGAGGGGGAAGACTCCCCCATGTAAGTTTGCTTCTGACCCCTCCGGCTCCTGTTCCTCTCATGGCATTCATGGTTACACTGAATGACTCAGCCTTTGATTCAAAAGAACTTGGGTTTGCTCACTCTGCCTTTCTGGATTAAACAGGGTTTGCAATTGCTTAGTGACTACATTTCCTTTCTGCTGTTCAAATAACTTTGACATTTAGGAAATTAAAAATGATCTCTAGGTATAAGCATCTTACAGGTACGTATGAGTTTTGGCACTAGCACATGAATTTTCATTCTCTATCTAGGCTGTCATTCTGCCTTTAATGCTGGGAAAAAGGCACAAGAAACACAACAGTTGCTAGTTCAAGAAAAAACTCCCCTGAAGGAAATGTTCTTCCTAATAACTGGTAATCAAAAATTCATGTCTGATGACTTATTTCCATGCTAAGTCTTGTCCCATGGTTTAAAGTCTGGTTTTATTTCTTAGTAATGTAGTATTTGATGATGATGATGTTGTTGTTGATGAAATATTTGGTTCTTTTTGTATGCAGATATACTACTGGTCCTGATTATGTCATGGGGCCTTAGGTGGTCGTGGAAGAAACAGATTACGTTATTCAAGCCAGCAGCAGCAGCACATGCTCACCCCGCTATCCAGCCAACATTCCTCAACTCTGACCTGAGGACCACCTCTGGAGATAAGAGTCCCTTCTTATCAGTGAGTCCTCATTTTTTTTGCCAAGTCTGTTAGCAAAAACGACATTCAGAGCCAACAGTATAGATTTGGACAGCAGAGGCTTGTTCACCAGAAACTGTTCTGAGATCACTGGAATGATTTCATGTAGACCACCAGAAACTATGTATTGTAACAGACTCATTTCACCTAGGGCTTGAACCCTGAAGAACTGGCAGATTATCAATTCTGTAACTCATTTGTTTCCTCAAGACCTGGCACTTGTTTAACTGTTTCTATCAGAACAATATCATGAGTAGCATGCATACAAGGAACAGTGAAAATCAGTAGATGTTATTTCCACTTTAAAGATGGAAGCTGTCTCTACTGTACTCTTGACTGGGGTTGTCATGTTCTAAATTAAAAGTATTCTTCATGTGGCTAATTATTTGTCCAAATCACAAATACCTTTTAATACTCCTCCCTCTCCCCCCCAAATAGCTCATATTGATTTTCAGTTGTCAAAAACCACTACCATGTAATCAGAGGGGTGGCTGAGAGACAGATGTCTTAAAAACTTAGGTCCTGCAGACTTGCTCATATATTTTTCAGTAGCAACATACAACAGCAAATGACAAATTATCCTGACTAACTGCAGACAGCTCTTTCCGTAAAGTTCACAAAAGGATTAAAAATTAGTTGATAATTTCTCCATGAATCAGTTTGTACTTTCCAGTGATGTTTGCGACCATTTTCCCAGGATGACCTTAAAACATTTTATAATTTTATTTCATGTATCTGAGTATAAAACTGTGCTCATGCATCATTTAGCACTCTTCAGCTGAGAAGGTCGCTATTTTGGCAAGGCTGAGTGTTGATGTCTTTATGGATGGAAAATTTTGGTTTTACATTATATCAGTAACTCTACAAGATGTGATATTGGGATTTAGGGATCTAATCTGCAAAACAATGAATGGGATCCAACTCTGTTCTTGTTAAGCTTTGAAAGACTTTTTTTTTTTGACTTTTGTGGCACACATGCAAGTTTTGTTTAGTTATTTGCTTGAAACTGAAAGGCTGAAGAACAGGAAAATCAGTGTTTTTTTCCTTGCTCCAACATATGTATTTATAAAAAATACAGATTCCTTGCCTATTTTATTTTTAAAATAGGAATGAAATAAGACTGAAATATTTTGAAATCTCTTGGATAGGATGTTATGGAATACTTATTTTTCCTGTTATGGAATATTTGTTCTCTTAAAGCCTTTATCTACAGTCTCACAACATAGAGAAAATAAATTCTTCCAATGTTAAATGTCTGGAGCAAAACTGACAATTTAATTTTTGCTATGAAAACCTGACATGTTTTTTTTTTTTTTTACTTTGATTTGATTTGATTTTTTCTCCATATAGATGCTGGTTGTTATGCAGCTTGAAAGTCACGTGAGAGCTTCAGGTTTGTACTTTTCTAAATGTGGTCTATCTATGTATTTTATTGAAGACGATCATCCTGACTTGCTTTGTAAATTGTCTTTCTTTTCTTCTGCATTAATCTATAAGTTATTATACAATAACAAGAGATTAGATGATCAAAAAAGTGGCCACTTTTCACCATCTGTTGGCCAAAATGCTGTGAGACCTACTTCCTATTTTTTAGATAGTATTACCACTGGCTCAAGGCAGGAGCTGGGCTGTAATGCTGTTGTGCTGTGGGGACAGGGAATTCCACAAAGTCTGAGGTCAGGCAGCTAGGCATTGTTCCTCTTAATGCCCCATGACACTTTGGATCCAAAAGCAATAAATCCTAATTTTTCCCCTCCTGGGAATTACAAATGATGTCTTAATTTACCAGCACTAAGAAAACTCTTTTTGTTATCTCTTTGTTTATAACAGCTTTCTTATTTCATAGCAGAAAAATCCAAAAACAAGTCCTAGAAATTTCAATTTAAAATCTTAGAACAAAGTGAGCTGGCCTGATTCTGTCCACGGTAGGCATCATCAAGTCTTTCTATCTTGAATACTTTCTGTTTCAAAAATGTTTTTCTCACAATATCTATTTTTAAATGTTGCTTGGTCTTTTGAAAGTGATAGGTATCTGTTTTTGAATAAGTTGATATGAACAGGGAAAGTCTCTGCTGCTGACTACAGTGTTAGCACTTATGTTGCTTTCAGGATTTATTCTCCTAACATTGGAGGTAAATAAAGAAATTTTCTCCTTCTACCTTTGAGGGAAGGCCAGACATGGAAGAGCAAAGCAGAGCCAAGCTTTGAAGTCAGCAGATCACCATTTATTCTGTGCTCAGGCCACTACATCCCTTATGTTTGCAGATACTGGTTCATTCAGCCCTCCAGAAATCTAATCGTTTTAGGATTTCCAGTGTCTAGCTTCACAGTAGCATTACTTGCCATGCAGAAGCCTGGCTATTTCAAGACAATTAAGAGATATGAAGAGAATTGGTGGAAGAGTGAATCAGGGGTCATAGTCTAGTTCACCACCCAGCCAACCAGTGCTCAGTCTGATAAATGAAAACAAAATACAAAGTTTAAGAGGAGTGAAAAAAAAATCTTAATAAATATTAGAGCTTGAATATGTCGGAGAACCAGGTTTTCTTGGCAACACTGAGCAGTAGTCATTTCTGAACAAACAAGATTGAAATTCGTGTTCCAGTGAAGCAGTTTGGGAAGCCTGTTTGCCATGCTACACAAAGACCATTTCCAATGCTCTCTGCCAGATGAATTTCTTCAGTGTGCTGGAGGTGGGCAGAAACGTGATACATTCATAAGAAGATGTGCCACAGATGCAAGGTCAGTCTGTTCCCCAGAAGAGGACAGGCCATGCTCTGAAGGCATCACTTGTATTGACATACCAGGGGACATTTGGTTTTTAACCGCTTAGGTGCTGGCTCCACTATTCAGAGGCACTGAACTTCTACACCCATTCATGTCAGCAGGGTTTGAGTACGTTCAGCAGTTGTAAAAAATCAGGCCTGCAGGTGTGTGCTTTCTGCAGGTATGTTTTACAGGTGTCTGTAGTGCATGTACAGCAGTTTGTTCCTGTGTGAGCTAGAGAGCGCAGGTTTGTACAAGAGGCTGACCTTGGGAAGTGCCTCCTTAACCAGAAATACAGAAAACTACAAGCCAGTTAGTGCTTACTGAAGCCCTTTGCCACAAGGAGGTATTGCTAGTGGTACCTGTGAAATGGGAAAACAAGGCACAGGAAGCTGAATGTTCCCTCTGTAACCCCACACATGGTCCAGGAGACTGCAGTGCCTCTCAACTCATTTATGCTGCTGTACGTGGCTGGGGAGGAGCCTAGGCTCCCTTTTTAAAGCAAGATAGGGGGATATTCCCCCCAGTCCACCCTACAGCATCAGGTAGGGCTTGGGAACAGCAACCAGAGTGGCCCTGGACAAAGGGGCAGTGAGAGGAGCTGTGTTAGCCCATTCTGCATTTGCCATCCCAGGCAAATACCCCTCTTGAGCCCTAAAACCCTCTTCCCCAGTGCCAGCTCATGGGGGTTCCCACTCCTTCTGCACCCTTCACCTCCATGCAGCTCTACCTGTCCCTCAGCTGCCAGGGAAAGAAAATAGTAGGTGTTAATTAATGCTTCTGTCCCTGCCTGTGTTCTTGCAACATCCATTCTCCTCGTGTGGCTTTTGGGTTTAAGATTGGGCACCTGGGCAAGAGCTGAGTGCTGTCTCCTTTTCACCTTTCAGGCCCTCTCACTGCACTCCCACGTTAAGAGGTTTGTTTGCTTTAAGAAAGCGTTTGCCGTCATTGAGAAGGAATGTATAAAATCTGGTGTCAATAAGCTTAATTGGTGTGAAGGCTTGATTGGGCTTGGGGGAGAGGTGTAGATATTGCCTCCTGCTGAACTCTCTAAAGAGTCCTGGTGGCTTGGCCTTGCTGGAGAGAGCTCTTGAGTAGGAGCTTAAGGTGTGTGAGTAAAATCCTCAGACGAAAGGAAAAATGCAATTAATGGTGGGTTTTTAACGTAGCTGGTGGTAGTCAGCTCTGATGCAAAGACTGGAAATAATGCTGAAGTGCACAGAGATGTCGAGGAAGTAGATCTGGTGGATTGGGGAGGAGAAGCTTGTATGGTGGAAGAGGGGAGGTTTTCTGAATCTGGGATAATCTGAGATTCCTAGGGAGAGGTTTTCTAGCTAAACCAGAGAGTCTTGGTTCCTGCTGGTGTGGTTCAACCTTCCTGGGAAGACACTTCAATGTGCATTTGATTAAGAAGAAAACAGGCAAAACAAGTGGAAAATAACAGTACATCTCCAAAGAAAATTCCAGTAGGCAGGATCTGTTATTTGGCATCAGCTGGGAAGTGTAGGCTAAGTAATCTGCCTTTTAGAGGTTAGCAAAGGGGGTACAAGTGTGCACTTCAGGGTAAAAGAAATTAAGGGGTAGCACAGCTGCTAAAAAATTAAAGATGATGTATTTGCCTCGATAAATGCAGCATGTTTGCCAGAACTCGGCAGTTGGATTAAACTCAAAGCATATGTTCTCTGACTTCAGGATTATCCCACACTGGGCTGCATCCATCAGTTCTGCTCTCTCCTTAGCAAAACAGCTGAAGCACCAGAATTGCCTATCTGCAGTCCAGCCATCCTTGCACCTCCTCCAGTTCAGTCCTTAAGCTTCCTTTTTCTTCTTTTATCCTGTACATTCCCTAAATAGGTTCTTCCCAGGTTTTAGGTTTTCTTTCTTTTTCTTTCTAATGTCTTTATTTTTAATGTATTTTCCTTATTATTTTCCCTCTGAGAAATGACTGTCATATGTTCAGTGTATTTTCAGATGAAGTACTTCTATGTTCTCTCCTTTACTTCCTTCATGTTTTGGAGAGGTTCATCAAAAGCACCCCAAAATAAATCGGATTTTCTGATTTTTCTTTTTTAACTTGCACAAAAATTGACAACAATAGGCTTCTGATTTCCTCGTATTACTTAGCTTTTATACTGATCAATAACTTATCAGTGTTTCCTTGCTTATTTCAATCTTGTTTACATTGTAAGCTCTTTATATCAGGCACAGTTGTTTTATTACAATCACTTAAACACTAGGACAGTTAAATCTTGGTTTGTATTCAAGGTGAATCCTGAACTATTGATAAGAGAATAATTTAGCACAGAGGCATTCATCTCCCCATATAGGGTATTTGTTACAATTGGTATTTTGGTCAGAGTTTGGATGAATTCCTAAAAATAAGTTGATGATTTTCTCATCCAACGTATAATGACTGACAGGTTGTCCACTGATTTCTTTAATTGGCATGAAAATCTGGGGTGGCTGGGAGTCCAGATCCTGTCTTTTTGGCTTTGTGTGTGCTGTCCTACTGATTAACTGTTTAACGAAGTAGGTGGGCAGAGCGTTCTGCTTGTGTCTTCCTGCATCCTCGTCCAGTTCTTTGCTAAATCTCTTCAAAAGTGAGTTGGAAATATTTGGGTGAAGGTTTTTTTATTTTCAGTATGTTCGCTTTGTTATGAAAACGTAAGGACATTACAGAATTAGATGAGTTTGAGATATTTTACTAGATTTAAAATAGAGTGGAGAGAAAAAAATAAATAAAGCCCATGATCATTCTTGCTGTTTGCAAAATGAGACTCTTCTAGAAAGTAATACTAATTGAGCTAAGGCAATTCAAAAGGATGTTCTGTTTACATTTAAATATTTATGCCTTTTTTTTGTTTGAGTCCATTTCAATTATGAAAATTTGAGACTTTGAATTTTCATTTTGATTAGAAAAATGTCACTTTGTAATTTAGTAGAACCATGTCTTGGAAATTGTATTAAACAGAGCTGGGAACACAAGAGTTGCTGTGGTTATATGAATATACAATAAATACAGAAGTTTACTCCCTCCAGTGAAATAATCTGTGGCACTTTCTTCTCTGTTGTTGTCTTCTGTTTTAACATTCTCAGACTGATTTGTCTCATTTGTCTTGGCATTTCTTCTCAAAATCTGCTTTACCAAAACTGTCCCCCATTCCAAGCAGGCCTCTGTGTCTCTTCGCCTTGGAGAATGCTCTTTGCACAATGTACCTACTTTAAAAATTGCTGGTATTTTTGCTGTCAGTTTCAGTATAGTAGATTATTATTTCTCAGAGCCATCCTAAACAAAAATTTAAGGAAACTGCAGCGTAACTGGGAGCTGTTTCCACACTATCACCCTGAGGCTGCTGTGCCGGGCAGTGTCTGACTACAGCCCTAGCTGCATGTGGAAGGCACCGTGTTTGAAGCCGCCCTCCCTCCCGTCACATTTATCACTTCTGGTCCAGCAGAGGCCCCACATCCAAGGGTTGGGGGGATGAGGGATGGGGAATAAACGCACAACTAAGAATTAATAATTAATTGGATGGATCAAAAAATAATAAGAATTGTTCTTAAAGACTTCTCAAGTACAATTGCAGTGTTTAGGCTGCCCTTCTCTCTGAGTAACTGTCACACCGTTAGACT